TTGCTTGTCATCCATACACTTTTGGCATCTCTCTGCCATGATGATGTGACCCCCATGCACCTCTGTGGGAGTAACATCACAGCTGAAGAGTCTGATCCTAGAAGGAAGACGGGTGAAGATGGCAGCACACATGACTGATGTGAGCACTGATTGAGCAACGTTGAAGGGGATTGCATGCCAGGTAGGTCTGCCATAATGTGTTAATATGCTGTGCATACTATGACATTATGGCTAAAAGTTCCTGGGACCCAATAAAGGAAAAAAAAATACATTTTGGCGGAGGCTTTAATAATGCTTAAGGGCGGTTCACACTAGGTATTGCACAGGAACACGCTGCGCCAGGGGCGGACTGACCATTGGGAAACCCGGGCACTGCCTGAGGGCCCGGGGTCAGTAGGGGACCCCATGAGATGCCCCTGGTACCTTTTTCATAGGCTTTTTTGAGTTTGGGCAAGGACACACGGGCCCCATGATCCCCTATTGCCCGGGGGCCCCATGAGTTGTCAGTCCGCCCCTGCGCTGCGCATTCCTGTGCGACTCCTATGCAGTTCAGTGTGGTGTGATTTGAGCCCATTCATTTTGAATACTTTTGTAAACGCACTGCAGCCAATTCACATGGTTTATCTGTACTATGCGATCCGGTGCGGTAAGACGCACTGCGTTTGCGATCTGCATTTGGGGCGTGGTTAACTTAGTGGTTCTAAAGGCTGAAGGTTTTTTTTTACCTTCATGCGTTCTTTGCACGAAGGTAAAAATCCTTCAGTGTGCAGCTCCTCTCTCAGACCCCCCCAATACTTACCTAAGCCTGATCGCGATCCAGTGCTGTGCAAGAGAGAAGTGGCTCTCCTTCCTCATTGGTTGAAATGCAGAAGTGGGAGCCATTGGTTTCCGCTGCTGTCAATCACAACAACTTAGGTGGAGGCGGGGCAGAGCCTTATAGACACACACAGTTAATAAACAAGAAAGTGCAGCGCTAGAATAAATAAATGTCCAAATGACTCTGCGTATATAATCACTAAAACCACCAGATAAAATAATTCAATCTAAAATCAAAAATAGTAAAATCAGAAAGTTCCAATGTAAACAATATATAAAGTGACTCTCAGGGTTCACCAACCTCATAACATCTAATCTGACGACCCCACCATCTCTGAGAGGGAAGTCCATCTACTCAATACCTGTCTGATGACATCTGGATTTTAACATAAGGCGCAATAAATATGCGCATCCGGTGAGTGCGCATTACCACTACTGCACTGATACCGGATCCAGAGTCCTTAAGCACGAGAGTCACTTTATATATTGTTTACATTGGAACTTTCTGATTTTACTATTTTTGATTTTAGATTGAATTATTTTATCTGGTGGTTTTAGTGATTATATACGCAGAGTCATTTGGACAATTATTTATTCTATCGCTGCACTTTCTTGTTTATTACCTATGTTTTAGGGTGCTATTGGTTACCTTTTTGTGCACAGCAGCTATTTTGTTTTTTTTTTATTTAAGGCGCTCGCACCTCCTTTATTATAGACACACAGAGTTTGCTCGGGAGAGAGCATGCACGAGTGCCCCCACAGCAAGCAGCTTGCTGTGGGGGCACTCGGCAGGGGGAGGGACCTGAGAAGAGGAGGCAGAAGTGGGAGCCATTTGTTTCCGCTGCTGTCAATCACAACCACTGAGGTGGAGGCGGGGCCGAGCTGCGCTCTGTGTGCCTCATAGACACACAGAGTTAATAAACAAGAAAGTGCAGCGCTAGAATAAATAAATGTCCAAATGACTCTGCGTATATAATCACTAAAACCACCAGATAAAATAATTCAATCTAAAATCAAAAATAGTAAAATCAGAAAGTTCCAATGTAAACAATATATAAAGTGACTCTCAGGGTTCACCAACCTCATAACATCTAATCTGACGACCCACCATCTCTGAGAGGGAAGTCCATCTACTCAATACCTGTCTGATGACATCTGGATTTTAACATAAGGCGCAATAAATATGCGCATCCGGTGAGTGCGCATTACCTTTACCACTACTGCACTGATACCGGATCCAGAGTCCTTAGGCACGAGAGTCACTTTATATATTGTTTACATTGGAACTTTCTGATTTTACTATTTTTGATTTTAGATTGAATTATTTTATCTGGTGGTTTTAGTGATTATATACGCAGAGTCATATGGACATTTATTTATTCTAGCGCTGCACTTTCTTGATTATTACCTATGTTTTAGGGTGCTATTGGTTACCTTTTTGTGCACAGCAGCTATTTTGTTTTGTTTTATTTAAGGCGCTCGCACCTCCTTTATTATAGACACACAGAGTTGGCTCGGGAGAGAGCATGCACGAGTGCCCCCATAGCAAGCAGCTTGCTGTGGGGGCACTCGGCAGGGGGAGGGACCTGAGAAGAGGAGGACTGGGGCTGCTCTGTGCATAACCATTACACAGAGCAGGTAAGTATAACATTTTTGTTAAAGTGAACCTTTAGTATCATTGATACCTGCTGCAGATCACAACTGAAATGCAATTTGATTTCAGTGGGGAAAACGAGCATGGAACTTGAGTTTCCCATACTGCGTTCTGGTGTGAACAGGCCTTTAATTATTGATAAGCTGAGGAATAATTATGATTGCTCCAGATGTTGGTTAACTGGCATCTGTAGCAATCATACTAATGACCCCACATCATTTCTATAAGAATCTAAATAAAATAAATTGGAATATTATACATTTTTTTTTTCCTTGCACTTCCAGTCCCTACGTCAGCACTGTATAATCAGGCATGTGACAGCCATATTCATGGTTCAGCTATACAGCTTCCTGTAACCTGCTTGTCCATTGGACAGTGAATCAGAATGGTATTAAAGCCGACGATCCTTGGCAAGCAGCTTTAAGTTCAGTTTGCATAGCCATTGTTCTCTGGTTATCTTCTTCATCATACTTTATAGCATGTGTACACATATTCAGTAATGCCGTGTAAAGGGCTCCTATTTTCACAGTGCAGTAAGACGTAGCTGTTCATCTGTTGTTATAGGTTACTGCCATATGAACATTTCTGCAATCTTTATGTATTAAACCTTCTGAATTTTGTATTTTGCTAAATTCAATTTTTTCTTGCTTTTCCTTTATAGTGGCAATGTTACTAGTTGGAAAAAAAAAAATTTCTTTTACTTACCTGATTGCCCAACAGTGTATTTAACCACTTCCTGTCCGGACACTTTTACCCCCTTCCTGTCCAGGGCAATTTTCAGCTTTCAGCGCTATCACACTTTGAATGACAATTGCGAGGTCATGCAACACTGTACCCATATGAATTTTTCACCATTTTTTTGAGACAGATAAAGCTTTATTTTGATGGTATTTATTCACCGCTGGGATTTTTATTTTTTTTTGCTATGTAAATGAAAAAGTCCAAAAAGTTTGAAAAAAGTGTTTTTCTTATAAAATTTTGCAAATAAATAATCTTTCATCATAAATCTTGACCAAATTGTATTCAGTTATATTTTTAGAAAAAAAAAATAAGCCAGATTAGTTTATAACCAAAAATTATAATTTTTAAACATTTTTTTTACATTTTTATTTTATTTTTTTATAATATTATTTGTTTTTTTTTACATACTGTCACCCTAGCAGTACAGTGTCACCATGGTGACACTGTACTACTTGTGGGGGGTGATGAAGATTTTTTTTTTTTTTTAACAGTGATTGCTTTTACACCCATATAGGATGTAAAAGCAATCATTTTCCTTTTTCTCTGTCTGCATTCTTGCAGCCATTGAGAAATACTGAGTGAGCTGTGATTGGTCACACCTTGTCACATGGTACAAGGCTGTTGTGAATAGCCTTGTACCATGTGACCTCTGTGATCATTCACAGATTTCACACGTAGTAAGCAATGATGTCACAAGTGACATCTTGCTTACTACTTTGCATGTGATCACTGATTGGCCAATCAGTGATCACATGATCGGGACCGAGGTCCCGTCCGGCGATCGGTGTTTCACTGTGTCCCAGCGAGCACCGGATCGCGGTGCTGTGCGCTCCCAGGGAGCGTGCACAGCTAGAAAAGGCGGGTGCCGTTTATGAACGGCAACCCGCCCCTGGAGTGCCACCACCCTGCCGTTTATAAACAGCAGGAGGGCAGCAAGTGGTTAAAATTTAGCTGTCTTTAAAGTGAAACTAAACCCTCCTATCCTCCATTACAACTAAGGAAGCTGCCATCTTAGCCTCTGTTTGATCTGCAGTTGCTATGGTTCTGCACATGTGATCAGTTATGACAGCAGCAATTTGATGGCTTGGCAGTTCAGTTGAGAGCACAAGCAACTGTGAACTGTTCTCGTACACAGCAAGCCTTTATATTAAGTGTTTTGGAAAACCGTTGAATCGATGGGTTTAGTCCTGCTTTAAGTGTTCTGGGCACCACTGCTATTTGCAATTTCCAGATGAATCGGGCTGTATGCCGCCAGTTGGTTGCTGTTAGTTCCACTTGCTGATAGCTATGTCATTGCTGTGTCATGTAGTCAGGAAGTGGTGAGCAGGAGGAACCACAGCTCCCAGCAGGGAGGGAGGGGAACAACACATTATTCCATACACTTTGAACACAGTAGAAAGTAGCATGCATTCTCTCTGTGCTCTATCTTGCATATTTTGTCAATTCAGAACTCAGAATGTAACCATGTTCAGGGATCAAGGTTTATATTTACAATTTTTTTTTCTCTTTTTTTTACTTCAAATTCAATTTTAATTTTGAAGTAAAAAAAGAAAAAAAATTATTTTCTTAACTTTAGCATTAACTAATCTGAGGGTGTCCCATAAATCTGATTGGTTGACATGAGTTCCTGCAAGTTGCACATATCATTCCTTTTTTGTACTGCCTTGTTGGTTAACCCTAAACGAGGATCCATATTAATGGCTGAATTTGTTTTACAGGTATTCCAATTAGGACCACTCTAGATAATTCCACCACAGTTCAGTATGCCGGACTCCTTCACCAGTTGTCTATGAAAGCTAAAAGCACGGTACGAGATATCGACCCTCAAAATGATCTGACATTCCTCAGGATTCGTTCAAAGAAGCATGAAATTATGGTTGCCCCAGGTACTGCTATAACTGGCTGATCTGGTTTTACTTGTTTGATGCTCTGCACAGTCTAAATAATTACTGAATAATTCATTGGAAATCCTAATAATAGTCCACTGAGGATATTTAATTTTATTTAAAGAAATCCATAAAACCTTTCTATTATCTTACAGAATATAGGCCAACTGCGCCCAAACTTTGTTTGTTTTGAATTGAATTACCTGGGGAATTTTCATATTTATGAGGGATAGAACACCCCATCCCCACCTCTAGATGCAGAGATCTAGCAAAGATACCCACAAAAATTCCCTCCCGTCAAAAAATGTTTGGCATGTACATAAAAGGATTATGAAAGATACATTACAACACAGAATTACAAGATGTAGTCATTTGATTAAAAATTGTATGCACCATAGACATTATTATTAGTATTATTATACAGTATTTATATAGTGTCAAAGGTTTGCTCAGCGCTGTACATTAATAGTGGGGGACACTACATGAGACAATACAGTAACAGAACAATACACGAGGGGTTCGAGGGCACTGCTCTTTCGAGCTTACAATCTAGGAGGGAGGGGATAGTGGTACAGGAGGAAGTGGCTGTGGGGCATGGAGTGGTAGGAGGAGTGGAGGAGATCGGCTGTTAGGCGAGGGTGGGGTAGGCTTCCCTGAAGAGATGGGTTTTCAGGGTGGGCCTAAAGGTGAGGAGGGTAGGTGACATTCTGATGGATTGGGGTAGTGCGTTCCAGAGGATGGGGGAAGTCCTGGAGAAGTCCTGCAGTCGGGCATGGGAGGAGAAGACCAGGGAGCTAGAAAGTAGGAGGTCTTGTGGTTTGAAGGCCCTGCTCTTTCGAGCTTACAATTTAGGAGAGAGGGGATAGTGGTACAGGAGGAAGTGGCTGTGGGGGATGGAGTGGTAGGTGGAGTGGAGGAGATCGGCTGTTAGATGAGGGTGGGGTAGGCTTCCCTGAAGAGATGGGTTTTCAGGGTGGACCTAAAGGTGAGGAGGGTAGGTGACATTCTGATGGATTGGGGTAGTGCGTTCCAGAGGATGGGGGAAGTCCTGGAGAAGTCCTGCAGTCGGGCGTGGGAGGAGAAGACCAGGGAGCTAGAAAGTAGGAGGTCTTGTGAGGAGCGAAGAGTACGGGTTGGGTGGTATTTGGGTATCAGGTCGGTGAATAGACATGATTTGTGGCTTGAAAATGGTCACTTCTGCAGGACATCAGCAGCAATGTGAGGCTGCAGTAATTTCCATCTCTGCCTCCTCCATCCACATGACCACGACAACATTGGCAGCCTCTCTGGATTTACCAAATATGTAATTCGTCTACATTTTGAGGAATGCATTGGAGTATATTGACACGCATACTCGCATTTGCATTGGCCATGGCATTTGAATATACTGTAATTAGCAATACTGGTGGAGTTCCACCAGTAGCTCCTGGAGTCCATGACAGATAAAAGACTCTGGTCTTTTGCTACGTCCGCTAACACTGGCGTAACCTCCCCAGTTGAAACTTTCCAAGCAGTAAATCACAGTGCAGATATGTTTGGTATCTGCTCACTTGAATTCATTTACGTAGAGTCAGAATTCTTAAGCCCCAATGAAAGGGGAGTGTGTTTGGCCCCCGAAATGCTTTGGCTCTATTCTGCATTGAATCAATAATGTGTATATTATATATAATGTTGGGTGTGTATGTATATAAAACTATAATATATATATGTTTTTGTGTGGTTAATATATATATATGTTGTGTGGTATTATATAATATATTTGTGTGTGTTGTGTTATTTATATATATATAATATATTTGTTGTTGTATATATATATATATATATTTTATTTGTTTTTATTGTGTTGTTTATGTAATTGGGTGATTTTTGTGTTTGTGGTATTAAATTATATTTGTGTGTGTTTGTGGTGTGGTGTGTGTTTTTTATATGTTTTTTTTTGGTTTTTTTATTTATGTTTTTTTTTTTTTTTTAGTTTTTTTTTTTAAATGGGGTATTTTTTTTGGTTTTTTTTTTTTTTAAAAATTGTATGTTTTGTGTTTTATGTTAATTTTTTTTTTTTTTTGTTTTAATTTTATATTTGGGGGGTATTTTTGGGTTTATAATATATATTTTGGGGGTTTGATTTGTAAATTTTTTTATATTTTATTTTTTTGGGGGGGGTTTTTTTGTTATTTTTATATTTTTTTTTATATATTTTTTTTTTTTTTGTTATTTTTGTTTTAGTTTTGGGTTTTTTTTGGGGGGGGGGGGTTTGTGTGGGGGGTTGTTTTTTTGGGGTGGGTGGGGGGGGGGGGGGGGGGGGGGGGGGGTTTTTGGGGGGTTTGTTTAAATAGGGGGGGGGGGGGGGGGGTAATTTGGTTTGGGGGTTTTATATTAATTTTTTTTTTGTTTGGGGGGGGGGGTTTTTTTTGTAAAAATTGAATTTTTTGGGGTGTGGGGGGTTTTAATTATTTTGTGGGGGGGGTGTAATGTTTTTTTTTTTTTTGTGTTTTTTTTTTTTTTAAAATTTTATGTTTTTTTTTTTTTTTTTTTTTTTTTTTTTTTTTTTTTTTTTTTTTTTATTTTTTTATGGGGGGTTTGTTTTGGGGTTTTGGGGGGGGTTTTTTTTATTTTTTTTTTTGGGGGTTTGGGGTTTTTTTATTTTTTGGGGTTATATTTTTTTATTTTAACAAAAATTTTTTTTTTTTTGGGTTTTTTTTTTTTTTTTTTTTTTTTTTTTTTTTTTTTTTTTTAACACCCATTTTTTAAAAACCCAAAATTTTTTTTATTGTGGGTTTAAAATTTTTTTTTTTTGTGTGGTTTTTTTTTTTTTGGGTGTGTTACCAAAAAATAACAAAAATTTTGGGTTGTTTTTTTTTTTTTTTTTAAACCCCCAAAATTTTTTTTTGGGTTTATTAAAATTTTTTTTTAGTGTTTAAATAAAACTTTAAAATTTTTGTAAAAAATAAAAATTTTTTTAAAATAATAAAAAAAAATTTTGGTTTTTGGGTTTAAAAAAACCCCAAAAAAATTTATGTGTTTAAAAAAAAAAAAAAAACCCAAAAATTTTTTAAAATTTAAATTTTAAAAATTTTGGGGGGGGGTTTTTTTAACCACAAAAACCCCCCAAAAAATATGTTTAAATTTTTTTTTTTTTTAAAAAAAAAAATTAAAAATTTTTATAAATTTTTATATTTTAAAAAAACATTAATTTGGGGGTTTTTTTTGTTGAAAAACAACCAAAAAACTAAATTTTGGGGGGGTAAAATAACAAATAAAAAAAAAAAAAAAAAAATTATGAAATTAAAAATTTAAATATTTTTTTTTTTTACCAAAAAAAAAAAAAAAATTTTTTTTTTTTGGGGTAAAATAAAAAAATTTTTTTAAAAATTTTAATTTTTATTTTTTAAAATTTTTTTTGTAAAAAAAAAATATTTTTTTTTGTTTTTTTTTTAAAAAAAAAAAATATGTTTTTTACAAAAAAAAAAAAAAAAACAAATACTTTTTTAAAAAAAAAAAAATTTTTTTTTAAAAAAAAAAAAAAAAATATTAAATTTTTTTTTTAAAAAAAAAAAAAATTTAAAAAATAAATTTTTTAACAAAAAAAATTTAAAAAATTTAAATTTTATTTTTATGGTGTTTTTTTTAAAAAAATGTGGGGTATTTTTTATGTTTTTTTTTTTTTTTTTAAAGTGTTTTTAATATAAACATTTTTAAAATTTTGTAAAAAATATTTTTAAAAACCCCCATGGGGTAAATTTTTTATTTATAAAAAAAAAAAAAATTTTTATTTTTTTTTGTGTTTTTTTTTTTTTTTTACCCCCCAAAGGGGTTTTATACCCCCATTTTTGGGGGGGGGGGGGCCCAAAAAAAATACACCCCAAAACATGGGTTTAATTTTTTTTTAAAAAATGAAAATAGTTTTAAAACCATTTTTTTTTTTTTTTTTTGGGTTACCATTTTTTTTTTTGTACATAAAAATAAAAAATTTTTTTTTATTTTAAAATAAAAAATAATTTTTTTTTAAAGTTTTATAATTTTTTTAAATGGTTTTTAAATTTTTTTTTTAAAATATTTTTTTTACACATTTTTTTTTTTTGGGGGGTTTAATATTTTATTACAATTTTTTATTTTTTTATTGGAACAAAAAAAAACCCCCCCCCCCAAACCCCCACCCCCCCCCCCCCCCCCACCATACACACACCCCCCCCACCCCCCCCCCCCCACCCCCCCCCCCAAAAAAAAAGGGGGGTTTTTTTTAACCCAAAATAAAAAAAAAATTTTTTTAAATTTTTTTTTGTTTTTTTTTTTTTTTTTTTTTTTTTTATTTTTTTTTTTTTTTTTAAAATTTTTTTTTTTATTTTTTTTGGGGGTAAAAATTTTTGGGGTGATTTTTTAAAATTTTTTTTTTTATTTTTTTTTTTTTTATTTTTTTTGAATTTTTTTTTTTTTTAAAAAATTTAATGTGTTAACTTTTTAATTTTTTTTAAAATTTTTTTTTTAACAACCACCATTTAGTTTTTGTTTTTTTTGGGGGGTGATTTTTTGTTTAAAAATTTTTTTTTTTTTTTTTTTATTGTTTTTTTTTTATGGTTGTTTAGGGGTTTTTTTTTTTTTTTTTTTTTGGTTTTTTTTTGGGGTTTTTTTTTTTTTTTTTTTTAAATTTTAAAAAAATTTTTTTTTAACCCCATTTTTTTTTTTTTTTTTTTTTTTTTTTTTTTTGTGTTTTTGTTTTTTTTTTTTAAAAAATTTTTTTTTATTTTAAATGAATTTTTTGTTAATATTAATTTTTTTTTTTTTTTTGAATTTTTTTTTTTTTTTTTTTAAATTTTTTTATTTTTTTTTTTTTTTTTAAAAATTTTTTTTTTTTTGGTTTTTTTTTGTTTTTTTTTATTTTTTTTTTTTTTTTTAAGTTTTTTTAATTTTTAATGTTTTTTTATTGGGTTTTTTTTTTTTTGTTTGTTTTTTGTGGTTGGATTTTATAAAATTAACCGGATTTTTTTAAAAAGGTTTTTTATTTTTTTTAAATTTTTTTTTTATT